ATTAAATATCACCTTATTATTTTAATTATTTAAAAAAAAATCATATTGTTTTACTCTTACAGATTGGTTTGAAGATATATATAATAAATTCAATTATACACTGTTGTTTTACTTTGATCTTAAACGAATAAATATTTATGAATATTAAATAACTGATCAATTACTAATTAATTTGGAAAAAAAAATATGCCAATCGAAGGTTTCAAACTTATGGTTTGAGCAATTATCTCTGATTTTATCAATACAATGGTTCCTATCATGGACTATTATGATTCCAATCTCGATTTTATTATGATTTACATCGATAAATTCTGATATGCATTTAATTGGATAATGAATAAAGCTACTCAAAATGTTCTTCTAAATCCTTAATATAATTTAATTATCATATTGAGTCATTTATAATTAGGTGGAAATTGCAGCCAAAAAATTAATTTTTCTTTGATACATTATTCTTCATTAAACCCAAATGATTTTCCTTTTAAACTTAATGTATAATATTCACTTTTCTTATCATTTTTAGATTCAATAAGATTTAAAAATTCATCATTATAATATTTAATCCAATTGTTGGACAGCAGTGATAAATTATTTGAATAGATATTATGAATGATAAAATATCTCATCAATCATTTTAAGGGTTTTAGACATAAAACTATATATGAAGAAGTCCAAATCATTATTCACTGAAAAATGAGGGAGTATTTGTAATACTGTAATAATTAATTTGATTTACTTAACAAACATCTATTGTTTTTCATCATTCAAAAAATGGTATTATTTCAAATATAAGTACTTCCTTTCATATCAAAAGCAGTCGAAATACTCTTAACGTAATCCTGGGTCTTTTAAAAGACAAACGAAATAAATTGTTAGTAAATTCATATCAATTTTGTTCTAGAAAATCCAATATTTAGTTATGTAATTATTAAACTAATCGATTATTCATTTTTTTTTGCTTCTTAAAATAGTTTGTAATTAAGATATTATTATTTTGAGGTTTTTAATCACAAATGATTTTTTATTTATTAAATATTATTTTTAATAGAAAAAGAAAATGTAAATGAGATGTACTTAAGCTGATCATTTAAATTAACAAATAATTGGAGTTTGCATTGATAGTAAATGCCAATAGTAAAGACCTTATTGTAATTTTTGCCTGTCTAGTCATGGTCAACACTTAAACAAGTTAACATCATTAGAACTTATAGATGATTGGATTCGTAAAAGAGTACTAATTGTCCAGAATGTTGAATAAAAGATCTGTGAGTGCAAATTAGCCCTTGATTGTCTTCTAAATAAATTTATTAATTTATACAATATTAATTTGGTATAGTTACCTAAATTAGGACTTACATAGATCGACAAAATTATTAAAGGTTTAAGTTTAATTGAGTTATGGGAGAAAACTTTACTTAACTAATTCCAATAATCTATCGAATAAATTATATAGATAGTTAAAGAAATTTTGGAAAACCAAAAAAAATAAACAAATGTAAGCTAAACAGATAATTTATAAATTTTAAATCCTTTTAAGATCAAAGAATAGATTTTTGAATAACAAATAAATCTAAATCCCATTAAATACAATCTAAAACCATTCACTATTGAATTGATGAATTAAAATTCTATTAAATAAGAAGATTTTTGTTATGCAATTGCAATTAATAAAGATAACTCAATTGTTGTAGCAGGGTGTGGTAAGTAAATTAAAGTATTTGATCTCAAATAAGGAAAATTAAATCAATCATAACTCTTAAGTGATCATTAATAAAATGTATCAACATTAAACTTTATGAAGAAATCAAATCATTTTGTATCTGGAAGTTATGATAAGTTAATTATAATATGGTAGATGAATCAAAATAATAATTAATGGACTTGCTAATACAAATTGGATGGACATTCTGATACTATTAGTACTTTATTATTTAATAATAATGAAAATGTTATTATTTCAGGTAGTTATGATTCATCTATTAAATTTTGGAATAAATAAAATAAATGGTTGTGTTAATAAACCATTAAAGATCATACTAGTCGTGTCTATTCATTAAGTTTAAATGAAAAGTAAGATAAATTGATATCTTGTTCATATGATAAATATATATTAGTAATTGAATATTCTTAGAATGATTAGATATGGAATGTGATTTAAAAGATAAATGTAGAATAATATGGATTTCGATAAATTAATATTAATCAATTCATAATGGAAGCCATTTAGGAATAATAAAATTCTGGAAGACTGGACTATGTTCATTAAACAGGATTATTTCCAAATCACTGTACTAGATAAATATAATCAAATAATATTCTCAAAAAAAATTTTAAAGATGATTAAAACTAGAACTTCTAATAATGATAAACTTTTTAGAAGAAACTACTCTTAGAAATTTGAAAGATAGGCTATCAGATCAAAATCTTTAAAGATATAATAAGAAAATGATTACTTCATAAAATAAGTGGAAATAATTTGAATATTAGAAGTTGATATCCATAGTAAATGAATTATATTTCGAAGACTAGAATTTGACTATATAAATAAAACTTCAGATATTAATCAACCAGAATAACTTAATGTAATAGAAGTTATTGAGATTAAAATATTTAAATCAACTCATTTAAATTAGTCTATGAAGTAATAATATACAGATAATAAGAGCTGACTTTTGAAAGGAGGTTAACAATTAGTAAGAATTTAACCTCATAAAACATAAGAACTTAGGATTAAAATTGATGAACCAATCACTAGAACTTTTTAACAACAAAGATTATCTGATTTAATAATTTGGTAAATTCAAAGAAGAAGAAATTTTAGGAATCTTTTTAGAAGATAATTAGCAAATTAGAATTTTATAGGAATGAAATAACTGTATCCAAATTCCTATAATTTAATTAAACAAAAAATGCACATATATATATTAAACATATATTTCTTAATGAAATAGGTCAATTTCTTAAATTGCATTCATTTAATATGATTAGAGTTTGGTTTCAAATAAAAATGAATCATACATATAGGATTAAATACTTTTTTGAGATTAAATTCTTAATTATTGGTTCTTTATCCATGGAAATTATACTAAATTAAAATAATCTGAAAGAATTAAAAAATTATAATTGAATTTATAAATTTAGATTTCTACTTCCTATAATATTAGTATGAGATATAATTAATTTTTCTAGATATAATAATGAAAAAATGGAGGCTTCTAATATTATCATTTAAGAGAAAGTGGAAATTTAGAATACAATAAGTTGTATTTTCATACAAACTAGAAATTCAATTGAAGATGATGTGACTTTATATTACATTTCAAGTCAATATTATTTTTAGATTTAATTTTAGAATCATAAATTTCATTTATTTATTCTTCTAATCTCCTTTTATAATTTAGTATTAAAATTGTAAAATATTAATTGTGTTAGCTCTTATCTAAATTAATCACTGTTCTTTTATATTTCCTTTTTATTATCCTTCAATAGGTTAAAATAATGAAGAATCCTTAAAGATTTCCATATAAAGTTCTTCTTTTAATTTATTTATAATGATGATATACTACATAAGGATAATAACAACTTAACTAAATATGATTATTCTTGAAATTGACTGAATTTATTATTTTGTTATTTATCTTCTTCTTTGTAAATACTTAATCATTTGAGATTGGATAAGGTATTACTTTATTTTTCAATTATGTAAATTTTGGAAGTTTAAAAAAAATAGTATTTTAAATAAAATTTTAGTGTGATTAAGGAAAGTGAAAAATATTAGACTCTATTGCCTCATTATAATCCTTATATGGAACAGGCATTTTTTAGATTAACCCTTTCTTAAATTCAATCCAATGTATCGTTTTCAAATGAGACAGTCTAGAAATTATTATAAATTTAAGAAAATTCTTAAATTTAAAAACAAAGATACAATGGATTAGTAATAATGTTGGTCGCACAAAATGGAAATGTTTCCTTTGGAATTGATTACTTAAAGAAATTTATTCTCTTTAAAAATTTAAGATGTCAACTTTTCTATTTTCCTTAAAAGAAATCTTAAATTTAAGAGGAATAATTGAATTAGGTAATTTCTTGCTAGGAAGTTAAAAAAAACAGTAAAAAGGAAAAAAGAGAATTAATAACAATAAAAATATTTGAAGGGAAAGATTCCAGTAATAGTTTTGAAAATCAAAAAAATTAGCGAAAGCTATAACTGAAGTAGTATTTTAAATAAATTAGTCTAAAAAATTAATTAATTTTAAATACATTATCTTTTCATTATTAAGATTTAGGATTGATTAAAATTAAATAATATCTATAGTCAATAAATTATTGATTAAAGCTTTTTTAAGAGAATACTTCTTCAAATCAATCCTCCAGAAAGTAATAAAAACCTTAGTTAAAGTTCTAGTCGGGCCAGATTAGTTAAAGAGCCTGCAAATTGTCCGATTTTCTAACATGCATTTACTAATATATAATTCTTCACATAGTTTTTTGAGCTGATTCTCCTAAACAAAAATCTTGATTAGTATTTACTAAGTAATTTTGCAAAATGAGATATTAGGATAGGTTAATCGTGAAGGGAACTTAGGTATATATGTCTTTTATTGGAAAGGCAATGTTAAGCTGGAAGCCATACTTAATATACCTATATATGAAGGTTTAGAAAAAAAGAAACATTCCTGACTGAATTGGATACTTACAGAAAGTTCTGGGTGTATTTATTAAAGATTTTAATAAAAAATTTAAATCCCCAAAATCCTAATTTTAAATAAAATTAATTCAATTAAAATTCATAATAATAAAATAATAATATGATACTACTACATTAGAAGCGATAAAATTTTTTACACTAAACGAATAATTGAGTATTTAGATCGATCATGAATAACTATTTATAAAAGTAATATTGGAATAAGGTAAAGCAAGAAGCCTAATTTAAATACTTATTTATAGAGTTTTTCCCAGCCGTGAATTTTTAATTTTTCAAATTCCAGAAGGGATCAAGATTTCTGCTACTAAACTTGTAATGAAATGGGGGAATAATATTCTCTTAATAATATAAAGAGTCAACAATCTATGCTTTCATTAAGTTTATTCAGTTGGACTCAATCTAAACTCTGTTTAGGTAAATTGGAGGACTAAATTTACTAAATAATTTTGGCTAGATCAAAAAATGAATTAAGTAGCGGAGCAAAAGGAAAGTTATAAATGTACTTTTAAGAATTCTAAATTTGAACTTAAGAAACAATTTATTGTATATTTATAACCTTTATTTTTCTTAACCAAATACAAGTTGAACCCTTTAAATTTCAAGTAATGGATATTCCTTTAATGATTATTAATGAACTGAAAAGGTTTTAAATCTTACTATTTAGGGATAGGCTTTTAAATAGAAAGGTAGATGTAGGAGAAATAATATGTGAAATTATGTATTGAATAATCTTTCACTTATATAGAAAAATATAAGAAGGACTAATTAGATTATATTAGATGCTATGATTAATGAGGTTATCATCTATTTATTAAATAATATTAATAATTTATAATTAATTAAATAATTTATAAAATAACATTATTAAACAAATGATCTAAAGAGAATAAAATTTAAATAATTAATTATGGCTTATTTTTATAAACAAGATTTATTAATTGATTAACTAAGTTTTATCTTAAATTATTTATTATAGAATATACCGATCTGATTGTTGAAAAAAAGAATCCCATGCTTAAAGTAATAAGATGTGAAGAAAAAAAAACCATTTTATAATAGAGTAAAATAATAAGAGATAGAAAGCAATTTTTAATGTTAATCTAAAATCAAGAATATCTGTCTGTAGAAAATCCTATATCAATTAATTTTTTTTGAAATAAATCTTTTTTAGTGAATAATTACAGTTGATGATGACAAAATGATGAATATTTAGATATCGATATCTATTATTAAGAAATAATCAATCTTTATAATTATTTTGTAGTTAATTATATATATATAAATTATTGGTTTGAAATTATCAGAATTTCAAAGTAATGATATTTCATTTATTAGCTTTAAATAACTTCAAACCCTCTTGATTAAGAATTACATGATTATCATTAACATTAAATTCTTAATTATTAAAATCCAATATTTGATCATGCCTCTANCAACTTTTCTATTTTCCTTAAAAGAAATCTTAAATTTAAGAGGAATAATTGAATTAGGTAATTTCTTGCTAGGAAGTTAAAAAAAACAGTAAAAAGGAAAAAAGAGAATTAATAACAATAAAAATATTTGAAGGGAAAGATTCCAGTAATAGTTTTGAAAATCAAAAAAATTAGCGAAAGCTATAACTGAAGTAGTATTTTAAATAAATTAGTCTAAAAAATTAATTAATTTTAAATACATTATCTTTTCATTATTAAGATTTAGGATTGATTAAAATTAAATAATATCTATAGTCAATAAATTATTGATTAAAGCTTTTTTAAGAGAATACTTCTTCAAATCAATCCTCCAGAAAGTAATAAAAACCTTAGTTAAAGTTCTAGTCGGGCCAGATTAGTTAAAGAGCCTGCAAATTGTCCGATTTTCTAACATGCATTTACTAATATATAATTCTTCACATAGTTTTTTGAGCTGATTCTCCTAAACAAAAATCTTGATTAGTATTTACTAAGTAATTTTGCAAAATGAGATATTAGGATAGGTTAATCGTGAAGGGAACTTAGGTATATATGTCTTTTATTGGAAAGGCAATGTTAAGCTGGAAGCCATACTTAATATACCTATATATGAAGGTTTAGAAAAAAAGAAACATTCCTGACTGAATTGGATACTTACAGAAAGTTCTGGGTGTATTTATTAAAGATTTTAATAAAAAATTTAAATCCCCAAAATCCTAATTTTAAATAAAATTAATTCAATTAAAATTCATAATAATAAAATAATAATATGATACTACTACATTAGAAGCGATAAAATTTTTTACACTAAACGAATAATTGAGTATTTAGATCGATCATGAATAACTATTTATAAAAGTAATATTGGAATAAGGTAAAGCAAGAAGCCTAATTTAAATACTTATTTATAGAGTTTTTCCCAGCCGTGAATTTTTAATTTTTCAAATTCCAGAAGGGATCAAGATTTCTGCTACTAAACTTGTAATGAAATGGGGGAATAATATTCTCTTAATAATATAAAGAGTCAACAATCTATGCTTTCATTAAGTTTATTCAGTTGGACTCAATCTAAACTCTGTTTAGGTAAATTGGAGGACTAAATTTACTAAATAATTTTGGCTAGATCAAAAAATGAATTAAGTAGCGGAGCAAAAGGAAAGTTATAAATGTACTTTTAAGAATTCTAAATTTGAACTTAAGAAACAATTTATTGTATATTTATAACCTTTATTTTTCTTAACCAAATACAAGTTGAACCCTTTAAATTTCAAGTAATGGATATTCCTTTAATGATTATTAATGAACTGAAAAGGTTTTAAATCTTACTATTTAGGGATAGGCTTTTAAATAGAAAGGTAGATGTAGGAGAAATAATATGTGAAATTATGTATTGAATAATCTTTCACTTATATAGAAAAATATAAGAAGGACTAATTAGATTATATTAGATGCTATGATTAATGAGGTTATCATCTATTTATTAAATAATATTAATAATTTATAATTAATTAAATAATTTATAAAATAACATTATTAAACAAATGATCTAAAGAGAATAAAATTTAAATAATTAATTATGGCTTATTTTTATAAACAAGATTTATTAATTGATTAACTAAGTTTTATCTTAAATTATTTATTATAGAATATACCGATCTGATTGTTGAAAAAAAGAATCCCATGCTTAAAGTAATAAGATGTGAAGAAAAAAAAACCATTTTATAATAGAGTAAAATAATAAGAGATAGAAAGCAATTTTTAAACTGAAGTAGTATTTTAAATAAATTAGTCTAAAAAATTAATTAATTTTAAATACATTATCTTTTCATTATTAAGATTTAGGATTGATTAAAATTAAATAATATCTATAGTCAATAAATTATTGATTAAAGCTTTTTTAAGAGAATACTTCTTCAAATCAATCCTCCAGAAAGTAATAAAAACCTTAGTTAAAGTTCTAGTCGGGCCAGATTAGTTAAAGAGCCTGCAAATTGTCCGATTTTCTAACATGCATTTACTAATATATAATTCTTCACATAGTTTTTTGAGCTGATTCTCCTAAACAAAAATCTTGATTAGTATTTACTAAGTAATTTTGCAAAATGAGATATTAGGATAGGTTAATCGTGAAGGGAACTTAGGTATATATGTCTTTTATTGGAAAGGCAATGTTAAGCTGGAAGCCATACTTAATATACCTATATATGAAGGTTTAGAAAAAAAGAAACATTCCTGACTGAATTGGATACTTACAGAAAGTTCTGGGTGTATTTATTAAAGATTTTAATAAAAAATTTAAATCCCCAAAATCCTAATTTTAAATAAAATTAATTCAATTAAAATTCATAATAATAAAATAATAATATGATACTACTACATTAGAAGCGATAAAATTTTTTACACTAAACGAATAATTGAGTATTTAGATCGATCATGAATAACTATTTATAAAAGTAATATTGGAATAAGGTAAAGCAAGAAGCCTAATTTAAATACTTATTTATAGAGTTTTTCCCAGCCGTGAATTTTTAATTTTTCAAATTCCAGAAGGGATCAAGATTTCTGCTACTAAACTTGTAATGAAATGGGGGAATAATATTCTCTTAATAATATAAAGAGTCAACAATCTATGCTTTCATTAAGTTTATTCAGTTGGACTCAATCTAAACTCTGTTTAGGTAAATTGGAGGACTAAATTTACTAAATAATTTTGGCTAGATCAAAAAATGAATTAAGTAGCGGAGCAAAAGGAAAGTTATAAATGTACTTTTAAGAATTCTAAATTTGAACTTAAGAAACAATTTATTGTATATTTATAACCTTTATTTTTCTTAACCAAATACAAGTTGAACCCTTTAAATTTCAAGTAATGGATATTCCTTTAATGATTATTAATGAACTGAAAAGGTTTTAAATCTTACTATTTAGGGATAGGCTTTTAAATAGAAAGGTAGATGTAGGAGAAATAATATGTGAAATTATGTATTGAATAATCTTTCACTTATATAGAAAAATATAAGAAGGACTAATTAGATTATATTAGATGCTATGATTAATGAGGTTATCATCTATTTATTAAATAATATTAATAATTTATAATTAATTAAATAATTTATAAAATAACATTATTAAACAAATGATCTAAAGAGAATAAAATTTAAATAATTAATTATGGCTTATTTTTATAAACAAGATTTATTAATTGATTAACTAAGTTTTATCTTAAATTATTTATTATAGAATATACCGATCTGATTGTTGAAAAAAAGAATCCCATGCTTAAAGTAATAAGATGTGAAGAAAAAAAAACCATTTTATAATAGAGTAAAATAATAAGAGATAGAAAGCAATTTTTAATGTTAATCTAAAATCAAGAATATCTGTCTGTAGAAAATCCTATATCAATTAATTTTTTTTGAAATAAATCTTTTTTAGTGAATAATTACAGTTGATGATGACAAAATGATGAATATTTAGATATCGATATCTATTATTAAGAAATAATCAATCTTTATAATTATTTTGTAGTTAATTATATATATATAAATTATTGGTTTGAAATTATCAGAATTTCAAAGTAATGATATTTCATTTATTAGCTTTAAATAACTTCAAACCCTCTTGATTAAGAATTACATGATTATCATTAACATTAAATTCTTAATTATTAAAATCCAATATTTGATCATGCCTCTACAGGATTCTGGTTAAATTAGGTAACTTACTTAATTATTAACTAACTGAATTTTTTGAAATTTATTTTGATGGCAAGATTTCTAAAATGGGGTTTAATTCATTGATGTAAAAGGAAAGATATTGTTAAAATTTATAAAGTTTTCATAATTCTTAATTTAGAATTGCTTAACATAACTCTTTCTTTTTAAATTTTCTTGCTAAAATATTTAATAGTCTTTTAATATAGTGAAAATTTGATTTGAGTTTGGATTTAATTATTCAATATTAAACTCACATTCTGGAGTGCCCTTTGCATGCTTTCTAATTAGTAAGGTAGAAAGTTTGAAAAATATAAAGGGTTGACCATTTTTAATTAAAATTCTTTGAATATTTGAAAGGATAAACTAAAGACTAGCTATTATACATAAACATCATAAAACATTAATGTCTTCACTTATTGAGAGAACAGTTTAAAGAAAAATTTTACATATAAAATTTGCATAAATAGTATTTATTTTTACAATCATCTTAATAGAATTCAGAAATAAATTAAGATATAAAGTATGAGTTAGACTTCTTTATCGAAACAGACTCAGTTTAAGGATAATTATATAATACTAACAGATGAATATTATGGAGAAGGTTGCTTTGGGTAAGTATATTCATGTCGAAAGATTGATAATACAGATCCAACAATTTATTGTGTTAAAATCATTCCTATAAATTAAGAGATTCATAACTCAACCCAGTAAAGTGAAATTGAGGATATTATTAAAACAACAATATCTGAATTAGACAAAAATAGCCCCTATTAAATAAATTTAGTATAAATATTTGACATTTTTTACGAAGGTTACTTTATATATATTGTTATGGAAAAATGTGATGAAGATTTATAAATAGAATTTGATAAAATGAATGAAAATAATGAATGGTATACTGAAGAATAAGTTTTAGACTTGATACAATAAATAATAACAGGTTAACATTAATTGCATTATTTAAAAATAATACATTCAGATATTAAGCCAGAGAATATACTGATTAAATATGAAAATAAAGGATAAGTAAATGAAAGAAAAATGTATAAAGTATAAACTAAAAATTCATATCTAAGATTTCAGACTTTGGTATTGGAAGATTGATTAAATAGCTGACAAAAAAAAATGATTTGATTAGAACAGGAACTCCAAATTATTCAGCACCTCAAATGTTTGAGAATCATATAGCTACAGAAAAAAGTGATATTTTTTCACTTGGAGTTTTATTTTATTAGATATGTCATAAATCCTAACTACCTTACGATTGTAGTTCAATGTAAAAAAGATATTAAAGTTTGTAAAATTTAAAAACCAATAGTTTTTAAGCTCCTCCTCTTCCTTACAATAAAGGGAATATATTTAATAATCTAATTTAGAGGATGATCGTATACAGAGAGGATGAAAGAATTTAATTTTAAGATATAATCCACCATTCTGTAATGAAAGCTCAAGGTATAGAAGATACTGTGGTGTTTAATAATGAGAGTACAAGCTTTTAAAGCGAAAAACTTTATGATAAATCATAATATTTAGAAAAAAGAAGAGTAGCTTCAATTTTATCAAGATTAAAGCGATTACAAAGATTATTGGAGTTATTTTATAATAGATTCAAACTTTGTAATTATTTTATTACTCAAATTAATAATGATGAGAATTTTTTATAATTAAAATTGAATTTGTATTTAATTGCATTTTATCAATTACAATATGCACTTGCTTTGATTTATATTCGTCCTTTCGAAATGCATCCGAATACAATATAGGAAAATGATATATTAATATTAATTGATAAATTAAGTGAAATTTAAAATACAATTAAAAACTTTTAAGCAGAAGATGTTACAAAATACAAATATTTAGAAAACTAAATTTAGGAAGAATATCACAAATTCAAAAAATAATTTTATTCATTTTCTAATATCCTTCATTCAAAATTCATAAATAAAACATCTTTTGAAGATTGTTAATTTTTTCATAAAGCTTTGATGAGCAAAATCAAATTGTAGGTTTTAGTAAGCAATATAACAAAATTAAAAAAAATTATGTCAGGAATGTTATCCGAAGATTTATAAGATCTATTAAATTAGATAATTAAACTTGAAACCCTATTTCCAGTAAGCACTTATAAAAGTGATATCGATCTAACATTACTATTCTCCATCAAAATTTAATAAACCAATGCATGAATTGCAAATTTATTAATCTCTTTATCAAATTGTTATTGATCTATATAAATAATTTTTTATATTGATTAAATTAGACTTTAATATTTAATAAATATTGCTTAAGTCAACAGAGCACTAAATTCTCTTAGTTCTAAATGAGAGAATTTCAGATGAGCTAAAGGAATGTTAAAGATAAATGGAGAATCTATAAATTATAACTAGCCAAAGGTTGTTAAAGAAAATGGCTCCTAATAAGATTTGTTTATTCAATTAATTGAATTTCAAGAAAGATCTTTATTATATAAACTTCATTTTTAGACTAGTAAGAAGTTAGATTAAATAAAATCATAATTGACAATCAGTTAAAAAAAAAGCAAACTTATGTTGTTTTAATTTTTTAAGGTAAAATCTAGATTATATTCATTCTAAAACTTTTGTGACTTATACACAAATTAGATATATTTAAAACTCCTAATATCATTATTTTGGAATTTTTTTAAACTTTTGGTTTGAATATTTTATGCTAAGTTTAATGAATATAAAAAATTGTAATAAGCTATGAATTCACTAATTTTTGGTTTTAATACAGAAATAGTTTATTGGTATAACTTTATAATAAATTTCAGTCACAGGATTCTGGTTAAATTAGGTAACTTACTTAATTATTAACTAACTGAATTTTTTGAAATTTATTTTGATGGCAAGATTTCTAAAATGGGGTTTAATTCATTGATGTAAAAGGAAAGATATTGTTAAAATTTATAAAGTTTTCATAATTCTTAATTTAGAATTGCTTAACATAACTCTTTCTTTTTAAATTTTCTTGCTAAAATATTTAATAGTCTTTTAATATAGTGAAAATTTGATTTGAGTTTGGATTTAATTATTCAATATTAAACTCACATTCTGGAGTGCCCTTTGCATGCTTTCTAATTAGTAAGGTAGAAAGTTTGAAAAATATAAAGGGTTGACCATTTTTAATTAAAATTCTTTGAATATTTGAAAGGATAAACTAAAGACTAGCTATTATACATAAACATCATAAAACATTAATGTCTTCACTTATTGAGAGAACAGTTTAAAGAAAAATTTTACATATAAAATTTGCATAAATAGTATTTATTTTTACAATCATCTTAATAGAATTCAGAAATAAATTAAGATATAAAGTATGAGTTAGACTTCTTTATCGAAACAGACTCAGTTTAAGGATAATTATATAATACTAACAGATGAATATTATGGAGAAGGTTGCTTTGGGTAAGTATATTCATGTCGAAAGATTGATAATACAGATCCAACAATTTATTGTGTTAAAATCATTCCTATAAATTAAGAGATTCATAACTCAACCCAGTAAAGTGAAATTGAGGATATTATTAAAACAACAATATCTGAATTAGACAAAAATAGCCCCTATTAAATAAATTTAGTATAAATATTTGACATTTTTTACGAAGGTTACTTTATATATATTGTTATGGAAAAATGTGATGAAGATTTATAAATAGAATTTGATAAAATGAATGAAAATAATGAATGGTATACTGAAGAATAAGTTTTAGACTTGATACAATAAATAATAACAGGTTAACATTAATTGCATTATTTAAAAATAATACATTCAGATATTAAGCCAGAGAATATACTGATTAAATATGAAAATAAAGGATAAGTAAATGAAAGAAAAATGTATAAAGTATAAACTAAAAATTCATATCTAAGATTTCAGACTTTGGTATTGGAAGATTGATTAAATAGCTGACAAAAAAAAATGATTTGATTAGAACAGGAACTCCAAATTATTCAGCACCTCAAATGTTTGAGAATCATATAGCTACAGAAAAAAGTGATATTTTTTCACTTGGAGTTTTATTTTATTAGATATGTCATAAATCCTAACTACCTTACGATTGTAGTTCAATGTAAAAAAGATATTAAAGTTTGTAAAATTTAAAAACCAATAGTTTTTAAGCTCCTCCTCTTCCTTACAATAAAGGGAATATATTTAATAATCTAATTTAGAGGATGATCGTATACAGAGAGGATGAAAGAATTTAATTTTAAGATATAATCCACCATTCTGTAATGAAAGCTCAAGGTATAGAAGATACTGTGGTGTTTAATAATGAGAGTACAAGCTTTTAAAGCGAAAAACTTTATGATAAATCATAATATTTAGAAAAAAGAAGAGTAGCTTCAATTTTATCAAGATTAAAGCGATTACAAAGATTATTGGAGTTATTTTATAATAGATTCAAACTTTGTAATTATTTTATTACTCAAATTAATAATGATGAGAATTTTTTATAATTAAAATTGAATTTGTATTTAATTGCATTTTATCAATTACAATATGCACTTGCTTTGATTTATATTCGTCCTTTCGAAATGCATCCGAATACAATATAGGAAAATGATATATTAATATTAATTGATAAATTAAGTGAAATTTAAAATACAATTAAAAACTTTTAAGCAGAAGATGTTACAAAATACAAATATTTAGAAAACTAAATTTAGGAAGAATATCACAAATTCAAAAAATAATTTTATTCATTTTCTAATATCCTTCATTCAAAATTCATAAATAAAACATCTTTTGAAGATTGTTAATTTTTTCATAAAGCTTTGATGAGCAAAATCAAATTGTAGGTTTTAGTAAGCAATATAACAAAATTAAAAAAAATTATGTCAGGAATGTTATCCGAAGATTTATAAGATCTATTAAATTAGATAATTAAACTTGAAACCCTATTTCCAGTAAGCACTTATAAAAGTGATATCGATCTAACATTACTATTCTCCATCAAAATTTAATAAACCAATGCATGAATTGCAAATTTATTAATCTCTTTATCAAATTGTTATTGATCTATATAAATAATTTTTTATATTGATTAAATTAGACTTTAATATTTAATAAATATTGCTTAAGTCAACAGAGCACTAAATTCTCTTAGTTCTAAATGAGAGAATTTCAGATGAGCTAAAGGAATGTTAAAGATAAATGGAGAATCTATAAATTATAACTAGCCAAAGGTTGTTAAAGAAAATGGCTCCTAATAAGATTTGTTTATTCAATTAATTGAATTTCAAGAAAGATCTTTATTATATAAACTTCATTTTTAGACTAGTAAGAAGTTAGATTAAATAAAATCATAATTGACAATCAGTTAAAAAAAAAGCAAACTTATGTTGTTTTAATTTTTTAAGGTAAAATCTAGATTATATTCATTCTAAAACTTTTGTGACTTATACACAAATTAGATATATTTAAAACTCCTAATATCATTATTTTGGAATTTTTTTAAACTTTTGGTTTGAATATTTTATGCTAAGTTTAATGAATATAAAAAATTGTAATAAGCTATGAATTCACTAATTTTTGGTTTTAATACAGAAATAGTTTATTGGTATAACTTTATAATAAATTTCAGTCACTATTTGTTTTTTAATCTTATATCATATGATGGATTTAATTTTATAGTTATATCATAACATAATATAGCTACTTCGTCTCTTTTCAAGTTTTTTTAAATAAAAGAATTTTCAAAATAAAGTAATATAAAAATAGCTATTATTTAAATATGATTTAGCATGATTGGGTTCAACTGAAATAACTTTATCAAAACAAAAAATTGCTTGGTTATTTCTTTTAAGTGAGTTTATTCTTAAATTATCTGAATAGATTCTAAAACTATTCCTAATTATGACCAAAATATACCCTTATTATAATATGCAAATAAATAATTAGATTTAAAAAGATATTTGATCATAACTAGTTAGAGCTTCTTCATATCTTTTAAGATCAACTAAAGTTATGCCTATATATTGTAACTATTTATGAGCTTTTATTAAAATTTGCTAAATAATTCTTGAGAATAATCCTTATCGACAAATCATAACATTTATAGCTTCTTAATTATTTTACAAATCTTATAAGCACCCACCAATCTAAATTATAATTCCTACCTTTAATAAATAAAGCTATTACAAAAGAGTTATCAATATTAAATGCATTTTCAAAAAATTCAATTGATTCTTCAAAGTATCGTCGTTTTTCTTTAGAGTCACCCCTCATAATTTATAAATATTCAAATGCCTTTTTAAATTAAGAGCAAACACATAGTTGGCATTGATTTGTAAAACTTGATCTAATAACGGTATTGCTTCTTTTGTCTAATCCTAATTTACAAAAAACTTTGCTAATATTTAATTTTAAATTAAGATTTTTTATATAAGGCTAGAATATTTAGTTAGTCTCATTATAAGATCTAATCACAGATCTGGATTGCTTCTTCAAAATTGTTTCGATTCTCTAAAATCAAATCTTTAAATTATGTGTTCCCTTATATATTTAATGAATAAACTGAAATATTTATTGGAGTTATTATTCTCTATGAATTAATCAATTTCTTTAGATATATCTTCAGTTGAATTACTTTTTTTCTTTTTATTTAATTCCTTTTCCCAGTTAATTTAATTCCATTAATGAAGTACCTAAATAAATTGATAGTTTACTATTAAAAAATTAAGCATAGGAAAGTATATTCTTAATTTAGATAATTCTTTATTCTAAAATAATATGTGCTTCTTCCCGGTTTTAATTGTTTAGTATTCTTTAAAGGTTTTATAAATATGCTTTATTTCAATCTCAAAACATTTAAATTCAAGTACCTTTTTTAAAAATATAACTATATGTTTTAAGTTCTAAACAATATAATTAATTATTATTTAGATTTTCTAAAGCTTTTAGTTGTTGAAATGCTTTGAATAATAACAATTTTTTTATAAACTTTAATCCTTAACGTAACAACCTCTAATTATTTTAGATATTATAACATTCTTCTATTTATGACAACAAATTATCTTCTAAAGCATTATTCTCTAGACTGGAAATAATATCATTTAATCTAATGATGTTCTCACTTAATAATTGAGTAATATGTTCAACTGATGATATTAATATTGTAAGTTATTTATTATCGATAATATATTATTCTTCAATTAAGTGGTTG